CCTGCCCTCCTTTCCTGTCCCCACATGGGCAGTGCCATGACCTCCCGTCTTCCTGCCCTCCTTTCCTGTCCCCACGTGGGCAGTGCCATGACCAGGCCACACTCTCGCGTTGCCTCCTGCCTGCCTGTCCTCCTCTTTTACACCCATGCTGTTAAAGCAGGGATGTTTCCCATTTGTATATGGTCCCCAAGCTTGTTATATTTCATTCACTTATTTAACCCTAAACTGTTTAGAGAAGCAGGGATCTGATGTTATTATGAACTCAGCGGCTTTCTATTTCTTAGGGAGTGAACATTTAGTAAGACTAGAAATTTAAGTAGCCTTGCAGTTAGGTTCTAACCTAACCTAATTTTGTCTGTTCGCTCATTCCTTCATTCATCAGATGGGGACTGCGTGCTAGTGTTTATGAGGCCCTGCTCTAGGTGCTGAAGAGCCACAGTGCACAAGCGCTCACCTTCTTGGAGCAGGCATTCTAGGGAGGGGAGATGGACAATAAGTAAAATGCAGAAGGTCAGATGCTGAGAAGTCTGCGGAAAAATCAAGCAGAGAAGGGGGCGAGGGCTTCCCAGGGAGAATGCGGGAAATTTTAATGTTAAAGGGGATTTTGAGCAAAGGCCTGAAGAATCTGAGGAGAGCAAGTCTTGGGAATACTTGGGGAAGAACCGTCCAGATGGTGGGTTTTCAGAGGCCCAGAAGTGGAAGCTTACCTGGAGTGTCCGAGGGTGGTGGCAGGAGTGGGTAGAGGCGGTGAGAGAGCAGGGGAGCTGAAGACAGCGAGTGTGGGAACCACAGCACCGGCACCCCTCTACTGGGTATTGGAAGAACTTCGATTTTACTCTGTGGGGGACTGGAAGCCATTGAGGGCTTTCAGCAGACAAGTGACTTGTTCGGACTTAGAGGGTCATTGTGTTTGTTGTTTTTAGAGCAGCCTGGGAAGGGGCCAAGGTGGAAGCAGTGAGTCAAGCTGGGGGTGGTTTCAGGAGCTTTGAGTGATGGGGGAGTGCCTTTGCCTGGGGTGGTGGTTGTGGATGAGAAGCTGCGCTGCTCTGGGTCTATTATGAAGTTTTTATTGAGTGTGAGACGCGAGAGAAACTAAAGATAAGGATGACTCCAAGGTTTTGGTCTGACCCCCTGGAAAGGTGGCATTGCCTGGGGAAGCCTGCAGGTGGAGCAGTTTGGGAGATGGTCAAGTGCAGTTTGGGTCATGTTAATTTTGAGATTTAAAGTAGAGGCTTGCGTATATGTGTCTAGAGTTCTGGGGAGACATTTTGGCTGGAGGGATAGGTTTGGGTAACTTCAATATTGTTCTTTTTAATCCATGAGATGCTCATACAATATGGAATTATATTTTGATCATGTTTCTCCCTCTAGGTGAAAGGCCGTTTAAATGTAGTGAATGTGGAAAAGCTTTTAACCAGAAGGGGGCACTGCAGACCCACATGATCAAGCACACAGGTGAAAAACCCCACGCCTGTGCCTTCTGTCCTGCTGCCTTCTCTCAGAAAGGGAATCTTCAGTCGCACGTGCAGCGAGTCCACTCAGAGGTAAACACGGGCTGGGGCATAAGCAGTACTTCACAGGGGACAGTAGGTAGCTTTTGGGATAATACATGGACCCGAGAAATTCTTTTCCATTAAAAAAAAAATGCAGATTAATTTTGTGCCAAGCAGGCCCTGTTTTAGAAAATACATACATGGAAATTTTTCTGGTTTATTACCTGTGGAAGAAATATAAACTACTATGTTTTTGTCTTCTTGCTGACAGCATGGCTTTGGTGAATAAATATTTGAAAATAATTCTAATACCTACATTAGTTATAGTCCATCGTTCTAAATAATGTATTCATCCCTTTAGCAAACTTGAAACACAGGCAAGTATAAGAAATTAAAAGATGGGAAATAAAATTGGGAAAAAAAGTGTTTTTCTTACTGCTGATACTCAGAGCTCATGTGGGACATGTCCATTCCCTCTTGGACAGAGACCTGGTCTGTTCATTTCCTTTCATGCTGCTTGTCAACTCTTTCGGCTAAAGTGATGATTTTCCATGGTAATTTTCTGTTGTCTACAGAGCATGCTGATGTGTAGAGCCTCTGCAAGTATTTCTGTAAAGCAGGTCAACCTTTGCTTTAACTAACTGTCATGATTTATTGATTTATATTTTAATCGTAGAATACAAAAAAGTATTTAAACAACACAAATACTTTTATCATGAATCAATATATCCTGTGAAACAGTTTTGCAGAATGAAAGCTGTCATATTCTTAAGAGCAAATGTGTATCCCTTGATTTTTTCCTTAGAGTAATACCTTAACTAACACTGAAGTGAACTGAGAGTTAACACCCACTATCCAAGTTTAACAAAAACTAGTAGAAGCTGTCTTTGATCTTAGATAAACAGAATAATGTCTAAAATGAAAAAGAGAATCTAAAATGAGGAAAAAACCCTGCACACTTCACGTAGTTTCGTGAACAGATTGAGTTCCATATTCAATGAGTTAATCATTTTATTATTTAAGACCCAGAGACATTAGGAAGGCATGCCAGAATTAGTGAGGTACTGAGGTTACCTTTAGATTTCAGAAGAGTCAGTTTGGACTGTTGTAAGTCATCCTTTGTGGAGTTGCCTCTGGGTGAAGATGATCGCGTAGGAAGGATCATATATTTGTGTAGCACCCAGAAATACATCACTGCAACCTAGAACAGCCTTGTGAGTTCAGAAAACTCCTCCTCTACTAAGGGGCCCAGAGACTTGCCTGTTGCCACTGAGAGGTGCTCTGGGAGCTGTACTGGGATGGGTTGTTCCAGAAAGAACCTCTAAAGATTGGTTCGTAAATGTTATACAATCCTGTGAGGAATCTAAATTTGGTTCTTAAAGAGGCACCAGAAACAGAATAAAAGTCTTAGTCAAGTTCAGAGGGGCCAATGAGTTTTCAAGCTAGCCTTCATAGTTCTACAGTAACTAACACTGGCTTTTAGTCATAGAGAAAGAATATTTTAGTTATTTTCTCTGTTCATAGCTGTTCTTACTCATTTTACTGGTTTCTATAGTTTCTGGAATTATGATAGTTGTAAAAATTAGTTGTTAGGTCAGGTGCAGTGGCTCATACCTGTAATCCCAGCACTTTGGGAGGCCAAGGCAGGTGGATCGCCTGAGGTCAGGAGTTCGAGACCAGCCTGGTGAAACCCCATCTCCACTAAAATACAAAAAGTATTTGTATACTGGGCGCAGTGGCGGGTGCCTGTAATACCAGCTACTCGGAGGCTGAGGCAGGAGAATTGCTTGAACCTGGGAGGCGGAGGTTGCAGTGAGCCTAGATTGTGCCACTGCGCTCCAGCCTGGGCGACAAAAAA